AAAAGAAAAGCTAATTAAAACTAAAATATTATATTTCTTAAAGTGCGCCTGACCCAAACTCAATATCTTCGGCATAGTATATATTTACATGAAGTGAACAGTTGAATGGTAAAATAGTTTTATAGGATGCATACTTTCAATATGCTAATGCGTGTGATGTCGTAGGAGGCATTTGAGTTTATTTGTCATCATTTGTAAATTGGAGCACTGATTACTWTGAGAAAACAATTTGCAATAACCTTTCTATAAASCCTATGTAAGACAATGTTGTTTTATACAGGAAAAGATMCAGAAAAGTTTTCTAATAATGTCTCCTACGACATCACCTTCATATTTAAACCTTGAAATCTCCAAGATGTATCAAGATCACTTCATTTAAATTGAATACTTAAATTATTGAGTTAGGGGTGAGGGCAGTTTAATAATAAAGTGATCAAAAAAAAAGTAGCCAAGCGTTAGTGTATTTTGACGTCATCAGATTGGTATATGACTTTAAATAGAGTCTTTACGAATGTCGTTTGGTAGTTGRGGAATGATAATGAAATGTTGGCAAGAAATCGTGTTTTTGAGGAGTTCAGAGCGGTTCTTTTTCTTCCTCTGTATGTAATGTAAGAGGGTGCGTAGCAGCGCCTCCAAAATTTCATACCGACTCTTTCTTTGAGCTCCATATCTCCAAAATAACAACTTTCTCGCACAATTTACCTCCACATATAGATTATCTAATAGATTTACTTTACTTTCATTTTTAAGAGAATTTTTTGTAGACGCAATGCCGATAAATAATGTTTTGCAATTCGAAAAGCGAGACCTGGCTATGTGCGGATTTTCAACTTGGGCAAAAATCATACAGGAAAATTAAATATACACTCATATAGGGATGGGACAGGCCAAATGTTACCAGACGTTACGTCACATCGACGCTTCYATCAACGTACCGATCTCTTGCACTTGTTTATAGATTTTTGCAAATTGATTAATACTTTTTCGTGCAAAAAATAAACATTTGGTAACATTTGGTCCATCGTGTGAAAAAATCTGTTTTCTCTAAATTTATTGGATAAATTATTTGGGGGGAGGGGGTAAATTTTCCGAGACATTTGTTATTTTGGAGATATGGAAGTCAAAGAAAGGGTCGGTGTGAAATTTTGGAGGCGGCGGTTGCACACCATTCTAACAACAACATGCTGACGGTGGTGGTGGTAATGGTGTGACTGTGATGATTATGCTGTTCTTGGTGGCGATTGTTTTAGTATTACCTCTCTGTACTTGCATTTGACATCTTTTTACTTTGAGCATTTCTTTGATTACGAAGAAATCTATTTGCAAGCAAATTGACATTAAAACGTCTAGTCAATTAGGATATTACCTAAAATAACCGTTATTACCAATAGAAATAATACGAAARCCACACGTAGGTTTTGTTCCATGAAAAGATTTCAGTTTAAAATTATCGAAAACTGACTCCTACATTTGCGCTTTGAGACTTCTTGCCGATCTTTTCAAAAACAAAGATAGAGTCCCAGCCATTGCTCCACCCCCCCCCCCCCAAAACTGTTATCATCATAGCTGATATTTATTGCTTTTTTTCTATAGGCGTTTAAGGGACAATTTATTTAAACACATTACGTTGCAACTAAAAATATTAACATTCAAATGATTTTTTCCGTCGTTTTGATTGGCCGAGACACCTGTAAATAACTACCTGCAAATAATATTTTGCTCWTGATCATAAGCATTATGATGCAAAGCCGTTTTGCTGCAAATYAAACTCTGCTCACTCGCAGTAACGATGCATTTGTCAATATGGCTCGTTTACCTGATGATTTATGGTTTATGATGATTTGCGATTTATATAGCGCCCTYTATATATAGATATAATCAAAGGCGCTTTATATTGAGTTGTGAATGACAGATTGCTTTTATGCAATATACAAGCAGGAGAGATGGTTAGTATGAAGTGTAGGCACTGAGGGTCACTGCGAGGGTTTCTTTACGTCCTCAGTGGTTCGTTTACGTTCCCCCGATATTGGGTAGTAATGTTSATTGTGGAGGGACGGGACCGCCATTTGAAGTGCTCATCCGAGCCACTTGAAAGTCTAACCACCTGCAGATGTGATTACAAAGGCAGCACTTTCTTCTCAGTTATTTTAAGACCCTGACTAGTGCTGGTCCCGCCGGGACTCGAACCACGACCTCCCGCACGAAAGTCCGATACTCAATCAATTTGGTATCTTTAATATACAGCAAAAACAGCCAAAACGCAAAAAGAAAACGGAAAAAATAATTTTRATGATAATACAATTTTTATCGAAGTATTATGATCATCCGGGTGGATGTAATCCTGAGAAAGCCTGTTGGGTGGGACTGACGTTTCCACAATCTGAGAAGAAGTCATCTCCAGAGTCAAGTGACTTGACTCTGAAGATGACTTCTGCTTAGGTTGTCGAAAYGTCAGTCCCATCAAACAGTCCTTCTCAGGATTACATCCACCCGGATGATCATAATACTTCGATAAACATTCATTCACCTGGGTTCAGACCGTTCTATATAATACGATAATAAAATTATTGAACTCGGTTATAACAAAATATCATAATTGATTAGTGTCCCGCAAGCATTTTTTTGTCTCTCCCTTCGGCATCGGCTAATAATTCCTTGCTCGCTTATGATTTTCACGCTAACTCCGCCTCACTTTTTTGCCATCAATTTGAGAGCCATAAACCATGTATGTCAATGTTTTCCCTGAATAAAAAAAATTCCTTTACTCGTACCCCTACCCACCACCTGTAACTAATGCCCGACCCTATAAGAAAGCAGTGTATACCGCAGGATTGCTGATTAAGTTTATCCTCACAGGACATCTGTTGGCCACAGGAACTGCACCTTCCATCCAGACACTGGTTCTCTGAACATTTTCGAGCTACATATAAAAAGACAATGATGTGAGCAACTAAAAGCTGATATTGATTAGCTATGGTATGAATTTTCTGCTTTAGGACTCATGTATATTCTAGGTTATAGGATTTCGATGCMTATTATCATTATCATTTTAATATAATGCTCACCACAATGATGCTCGTCTTCACCATCTACACAGTCCCTATTTCCATCACAAAGTCTTGTGTGATGAATACATTTTTGATTTGCACAGGTAAAGTAACCAGTTTGACAAATGCACCCATCTTCATCAGAATCATCAAGGCAGTCGCCATGGATACCATCACATCTGTGATGTTTGTTAATGCACTGACCATTCCCACACTTGAACTCAGTCACTTTGCATTGAAAGCCTTGAGGATTTGAGACAGAAAAATATTAGCATGGTAGTTTTTATTCCGTAAATTAATGAGTCATTTTCGTAGGTCGATTTGTAGTTATAAGAATTGAGACTTATTTCAAAAACCTATCAACCCGCCATCTTCAGGGCCCTGTGGTCATCAAGTTACAAAGATGGGAAAAAACCAAATCACTCGCCATACACGTTAATTTGTGAACACTTGCACAAAACGTAGTTATCAGTTGATCTTTACAGTGCCTGTTTTATGTTATTATTTTGTTTGATCACTTATGCTTTTTGTTTTCGGTTCTTTAAAATTGTGTATTTTTATTCCATCAGTAATTTGGTGATATAGACCGTATAGATAACACCCACGCACGCCCTGTCCATCCTATTATTTCTCGTGCCTTCTATCGAGGATTATTCCATTTATACAATCCTGAAGATGGCCCTCGAAGGTTCCGTCAATAAATATTTTAAACTTGTTTAAACAATCGATAAACAAGAAATTCGTTTACTCAGGATCCCAGGTAAATCGTTAGACTTGAACATCCGTACCTGGCTTTGCAAATACTGGGCGCAGCGAACAGGATCTGCTGATTACTTGAACGTTCCTTATTGCAARCGAAATAGAACCGTTTGTCCTAGAATACCCCCTGAAAGAAATCTATAATAAAAAACAGCAATACTTATAAGTTTAAATGAATCTTCTTTATGAGGTACAAGTACCGGGAGAAATGCACTTGAAGGGCAAAATAGAACCAACAAGGAACGCTTCTCACATATAATAGCGAATCTGAGGATCAAACACACGAACACAGGGGTGAGAGGCTGCGCATTAACTGAGCACACACCTCTTTCTTTCACACAGCTACGAACATTTTGAAATTATTGATCATCTCCTCCAAACCATTTAGAATCCCCTTACAGACAAATATATGATAAACAGCCATAAGATGTATGCAAAAAAAAGTTATTCTTACATCCCCACTTTTTACTTAAAGTCATTTGGCCATTGATTAATAGAATTTGGTTTAAAAATCTATGGTACCTGAAAATCTTGCTTCGACTTTACAGGTATGTGTGCACGTCCCCATACCCTCCCATGGCTCCCTGACAACAACCACAAGAGATTGTTACTCAAGGTAGTTTTCCTGAAGACCTCAAGACGAGACGTAGTGTTGGAAGGAAGAAGATAAGAGAATTCAACACACAGCGTTATATGTTCATATTCCGAGTTCCAAGTCATGGACGGGGATTCCAGGAAAGACATCCCAATTGTGGTTACAGCTATATAACCACCTAAATAGAGAACAAATATATATAGCTTAGCGTATTTAACTTTGTTACAAAACCAACCCTTTCAGAAAATCAGCCTTGCCTYTTTCATTAGATAGATGTGTTCATTATAATAATTCATTATTTAACAACTTTTATTGTGCAAAATGAATAAAATAGTMTAATGTGCCTTACAATAACCAGAAAAAGATAGATAGAAACAATAAAATAACTAAAATTTATACTAGTGAAAGAGTACCATATAATAAAATAAACTAAAAATAAAATAAAATAAAATAAATAAATATGTTTCCCAATTAGAATGCAAAAAAATCATTAAGAAATCATATATAAACAGTGTGCTATGAATTGAGACAAGAAAAAAAAAATATATATATATCTTCTTAATTAACATATAAAATCAATAACGGTAATACTTATTGTTCATAAACTAAGTTAAATAGATGGGTCTTTGGTTGACACTTAAATTTCTCTACAGTTAGTATTTGTCGCAGCTCTCTTGAAAGAAATTTCTAAAATTTAGGAGCCGTCATAACAAATTAACGATCACCCAGCGTAGCTTTAGTTTTGATTGCAGGAACACTCAACAACATCGCAGGCTGTAATTAGCTCATTTGATTAACACTAGGTCTTGAATATACACTGGAGCAAGCTCATGAATAGCTTTGGATGTTCATAAAAGTATCTTGAAATATAGTCTTGTTCTTATTGGAAGCCAGGGCAGCTCACGTGATAGARGTGTAATATGACAAAACTCTGGGGCACTGTGCATAAGTCTATCGGCATTATYAATCAATCGTTGTAGCTTGTGCAACTGAAAGTCCGGCAGTTCATACAACAKACTGTTGCAGTAATCAATGGTTATCAGAGCATGTACATGTATCAGCGTTTTCGTTGCATCCACTGATAAGTACTTTCGCATTCGTCTAATCATTGTGTAGRTAATAGAACTTTGAACTACAAACTTTGCTGATGTGTGTTGACATAGTTTAAAATCAATCCATGCACCCAGGTTTCTCGCAGCAAATACAGCAGGAATTACGATCAGATTTAATAGTTACGCTTTAGATGTTAAGAGAGGATGTCAGCAAAAATCGAACATACGCCGGCAACAGTCGAAAAATAGAATTCGCTCATATTTAAAGTGCAACTGAACCCAAAATATTCGCATTGGTTATCAAAAGATATTGAATTTAKAATAAACATAGTGTTATTTTTTTCAAATTGGGTAAAAGCTCGATTTATGGTGAATTTTTGAAAGTATTAAATTTTTACGAAATTTGCGTTGACATCCGAAAACCGCGGTTCTAGTCAAGGGCCTGGATCGAGACTATTGTGACGTATACAAAKGTAKGATAGCGATGCCGATGTGAAGAACACAAGCCAAATAATGTGAAAAGAGAGTTTTTTGAAGAGTATATATAGCAAAATTTAAGCGAAATATGCCGAATCGGTGTGTCGTTCGGGGTTGTAGTAGTACCCAAACCCCAAAGAAGGAATATTTTTATTTGCGATCCCCTTTTTTAACGATAATCGGCAAGAAGCAAAGAGGCGGCGGAGAACCTGGGTGAAGTTTGTCAACCAGAAGCGGAAAAACTTCTTTGAATCGAAGGGTTCTTCCATCTGCTCAAAGCACTTTCGACCAGAGGATTTATCCATAAGATATGCACTACTGCCTGGGCATGAAAAGCAACGAATTCCTCGTCTGAAAAGGGATGAATTTGGTGTCTGTGTGTATCCTACACTACAAGCTGGTGCTTCATTCGAGAGCGAAGGAATCAGCCAACGAAAAAGACGCAAGGTGAGATATAAGCTAATACGTCAAAGCTTCTTGCTTTTGATTGCAAAACTGAGAAATTATTATTAATTTGTAGACAATAAAGACTGCCTTAGATGAGTGTGACCAACAAAAATAACTAGAGGTGCAAGCTCCATCTACGAGTAACGATAAAACCAACACCCAGCAATGAAGCCGCCTCTGTTCACCTAGAACAACGAGAAGACACGCTTGCGGTACCTCCGACGGTACCGGTAAACAACGACACAACTGCTTCTTCGCCCGCGTTGTCAGAACAGGAAGATAACCTGGATGTTAGTACCGATCCGATGCCTGTAAAGCTAAGTTTACCAGAGGTAAGAATTATTGTTAGTTATGGTATGGGGGGAAGCTGTAGGCTACTRTACAGTAGGTGTTCTCTAATAACTGCAAACAGARTAAGTTTATTTTACGTGTACTGAGTCTTTCCTTTTACCTTATTAGAAAACCAAAACGTCATGTAAGTCCTGCTMAAGACTGAAAAAGGAAAAAACATGCTGGAGGCAGAGGTGGCGAATAAAGAAGAATCAAGTTGATGAAAAGGAGGAGCAACTAGAATGTGCAAATCAGAGAAGTAAGCTTATGTTTTATTTTTCATGTAACATATATAGAATGAAATAATAAAAATGTTTGTATCTATACTATATACTGCATCAGTTTACAAATTAATTATCTTGATTTTTCATAAGCCATTTATTGTGTTTGATTGGAGATACCTACATTTTATTATAAATCATATTTCAATGTGTAGAATTTTCATCACTAATATTCACTGATCATTT